CAGAGATGAATCAATGGAGATGGAACATAGATAAAAGACCATTCTATGTAAGATAACATGAAACAATTTTAAGTTGTGGACTAATATCTGTTGCCTTTTATCAGAAATGGCACATAGACAATTCACCAAACTGTTGGATGGCAACAAACTTAAGGGACCCAACTATGCTGACTAGTACCGTAACCTTAACCTGGTCCTTATGTCCAAGAAATTGGACAAGGTTTCCAAAAACCAAGCTCTGGAATGTCTGGGTGACAGGGCATCTGAGGCCCGTAGAAGGGAATATCAGGAATGGGAAGAGAAAAATTCTCTTACCTGGTGTTACGTTGTGGCATCTTTAAATAATGCTATCCAAAGGCAATTCGATAAGATCGAAGTTTGTAAAGACATTCTGGATAGTCTAAAGACTATGTATGAAGAGCAGAATCGTTCTGCCCGGCAGAAGGTCCTCAAATTGTTGATGACCATGAGGATGACTGAGAGTCAGCCGGTTCATGACCACGTCATGCGGATGATGGAGTACATTAACGAATTGGAGGCACTTGGATCCCGACTTGACGATGACACAAAGACTGATGTCGTCTTAAACTCTCTGCCCTCCCTCCTTCAATCAGTTTGTCATGAATTACAACATGAACAAGTTAAAAGTAAGCCTTTAGGAACTCAGCAATATGTTGCAGAGGGCCGAAGGACTGATCAAGAAGGATAAGCCAGTAGCCATGCTTGTTGAAGGTGGAAAATCGGGCAAAAGAAAGAGGAAGGGCAAGAAGAGGCCTCAGAAGAAAACAGGCAAGCCGAAAAGGCAAAAGAAAGTAATCAGATGAATGTCACTTCTGCAAATAAACCAGACACTGGAAGAGGAACTGTGCTCAATATCTGAAATCCAAGAACAAAGGAGGTAATTTCGAATCTCTTGTCATAGAGACCAATTTGTTGGCCACTTCTGCACCCTGGTGTATTGACTCCGAGGCTTCTACTCATGCATGTAATACATTGCAGGGGTTCAAAGAAAGCAGAAGGCTGAATGACGACGAGGTGATTCTTTACTTGGGGACTTCTGCAACAGTTGCAACTACAACTATAGGAACTGCAGATTTAATTTTCAGAGAAGGAATTGTAACTCTTAAAGATTGTCTTTATGTACCATTACTAAGAAGAAATTTGATTTCAGTTTCAAAATTGTGCAAGGATGGTTATTCTGTTTTATTTAGTGATAAGATTACTATTAAATTGAATAACAAATTCCTTACCTATGGAGAACTTGAGAATGGTCTCTATGTCCTTCGTCCTTCTCTGGAAATGAACATAACCGAAACTACGTTAGAAATTATCCCCAAGAAAAAAACACGTGATACGGTTAATCCCACGTGCCTGTGGCATTACCGACTTGGCCATATTAACATAGATCGTATCACAAGATTGGTAAAGGATGGTCCTTAGGATTTTCTAACTGTAGAAGATTTTCCAACTTGTGAACCTTACCTTCAGGGTAAGATGACGAAATGGCCATTTCCGAGAAAGCCTGAAAGATCTATGGGCACACTTAACCTGATACAAACTGATGTATGTGGTCCCATGAATGTTAGGACACAGAACCAGCATTGTTATTACATAAATTTCACTGATGATTACTCTCGATATAGTTACTTGTACCTAATGAGACATAAGTCTGAATCCTTTGAAAAGTTCAAAGAGTTTAGACAAGAGGTCGAGAAACAGTTGGGGAGACACATCAAAACCCTTCGATCAAATCGAGGAGGTGAATATCTCTCCAACGAATTCAAGGACTACCTAAAGGACAATGGGATTGTATCATAGTTGTCTCCTGCTACACCACAATTAAACGGTGTGTCAGAAAGGAGAAACCAGACTCTATTAGATATGGTTCGATCACTTCTCGTCCATTCAGAACTACCTATATCCTTTTGGGGACATGCATTGGAAACTGCTATATATGTGCTAAACCGGGTTCCAACCAAATCCGTTCCTAAGACTCCCTATGAGCTATGGACCGATAAGAAACCAAGTGTAAGACACTTGAAGATTCGGGGTTGTCTAGCACATGTTAAAAGAACAAGTGCAGACAAATTGGAATCCAAGACCAGTCGTTGCCTATTTGTAGGCTACTCCATAGGCTCTATAGGATACCTTTTCTATGACCCAAAAGAGCAAAATGTGTTTTGTAGTCGAAATGCCTAATTCTTAGAAGAAGATTACATCTTGAACGATCATCATCAGGAAATTTTTCTTGATGAGGAGAGCTCAAGAGTAGTGGGAGATGTCTTAGTTGCTAGGGTAAGACCCGTAGCAGATATAGTGCATGTTTGATTGAAACACTGAACCCGGACCATTTTCCAGTTATGCCCTGGACCTTGGAGACTGGTGGGCAAAACTAGAAAGTTACACATAACCCCTAGACTCGATTATGGTACTGCATTGGGTGTCAGATTGGGCTGCCTTTGATATGCCAATCAGTGAGATCCTTTGGGGGTCAAAACCTGGGTATGTTGGGGTAGTCTGAGAATTCACTCGAGTGGGTGATCATAGTAACAGGATCAGCCCCTTTGTCGAACAAAGTGAAGATCAGGACTGCACTTTCTCTGATGGAAACCAAAACTGTCAACAGTCGATTTCAAACTTGTTTGAGACTTGTTTTGCAAAATATATTTATATGATAATATATATATATATATATATATGTTTTAAGAAAAATGTTTGCAAAAGGTTTTAGTTCTCAGGACCCATCCGAGCAGAGAGTGCGACACTACACCTTGCAGCCAAGGGAGAGGTCCTTCCCTATCGGGCAGTGTTAGATCATTATAGGTTGAGAGGTTAAGTGTAAGAGACCATTTAGGGATATTTACCTGATGGGCTATATCTTACTTAAGTCCATTGTCATTGAGCCTTCATAGGATGGCTGGACTCAAGGATCATTTAATGTAAATGTTGGGCCCATTAAAAGCCCATATAGATGGACTTAGGGGTTCACTGTACTTGATAGTGAAGCCTTTTCACAGAGGCTGGGTTGAACCCATGTGGGCTTATGTAAGGTTATTGTTGGGATTCCACGCCATACAAAGTGAACCAAATGGGCCAGCAACTACCTAAGGACGTGAGCCACTTGCTTAATGGGCCTAAAGCCCATGATTAATAAGATTAATCAAGATGTCACATGACTACTTAAGCTGCCATGTGACATGGGGTGAATCTGGGTTTGGATCTAGGTATGGAGCACCTAATCTTATAAGAAGATAAGGTCTATCTCTAAAGAGAGTCCAGATCTGATTTAGATTTGGATTATCTCCTAATTAGATTGGGAGATAGCTCTATAAGAGATTATAAAAAAAGAGGGGGGGGGGACCAGTCCAAGAAAGCTTCATAATTTTGTAGTTTCTGGTCCTCTCTACACTCTTTTGTCTCCCAGTTTTCTCCCAGTTCAACTACAGCTTTGGGACTGATAAAGATCAGTTCTTTATCTCTGATTTTGCAAGAAAAATTCAGAGAAATCTCGTGCTCACCTCTCTTCTTTGATCCAAGGTTTGATCACAGTTTTGCTGAAAACTATGTTGTTGAACCAGCTTCAATTCAAGCTGCACCATCTTCAGTGGAAGCTGGTTTTGGAACTATCTTTTGGCATGAACTACCACTTTGGGAGCTACATTTGTGGAATCCGTATCAGATATACTTCTCCCTTTCTTTTGATTTCAGATCTTGTCCAGTTTCGGTGCAAGAACGATCCTTGAAAAATGCGATTTTTCTAAAACTAGGAATACGATTCCTGGAAGGGTAAAAGAAAATTTTTGAAATTTCACCCAGCCATCTAGCATGGTTCGGCCATCCATATGATGGATTTCCTCTTCCTTCACCGAGGACTGAAAATCCAAGCCCAACTAGTAAAATTGTGAGCTGGGTCAATCCGAGCTCGGGCTGGGTCAATCCGAGCTGCACCCCTAATAAGACATCAAATATTGTTCCTGTAATTGAGAAGAGGAGAAAATAGTTTTCACTTTTTTTTCTTTTTTAAATCAGTGGAAAGATGATTGATTGTCTCTAAATTCCCTCCTTTTTAATATAAATTTCTCCAAGAAATGGTTGTTCAATGATGGCATAAGCTGCTCCATACTCTCCCATCTATGACATGCCAATGAGACACGGTTTGCCCCAATCTCCCTTGTTAGGCACCTGGTTTCCTTCACAATCTGTCTATGAGTCCAGATCCCCAAGCTATTTGTTTGCATACACTTTATTACCAACTTAGAATCCCCCTCCACTTCAATCTGTTAAAGGCCCGGCTGTTTAGCCAATCTCAAACCTTGGAGAAGAGCCATCACTTCAGTTCTTAGCGAATCTCCCACCCCTATTGATCCAGAGTATAAAGCCAAAATGGGTCTACCCGACCCACCCATCAACAATCCCAACCCCAAGTAACCTTGACCAACATTGGGTAGTAGTCCTTATTAACTTATTTATGAGATTACACCAATATTTTATAACTTAGAATATCTCTTGTTTGCACTCAACTAGTCATTGCATCAACCATAGGGGACCAAGTGTCTATTTGCCACCTTACCATATTGATAACACTGTTTGGTCAGCTTGGAGTTCAAGGACAAGAGACATTTACAGGGAAAGGGTAATTCTATGGTCCCTCATAGATATTCTAGGTAAAACAAAAAGGTTGAATAGGTTGACAATCAGATTGATGACATTTCTAACAAAAATATAATAAACAAATAACAAAAAATTAAATTAGAAAAATAATGGAGAGAATAGATTAGCACGTTATGAGAAATGGACTCTATAAACTAGCTATCTTCCACTTTTCATCAATATTAACAAACTCAAAATGGTGCTCTTTTTGGGATCTCAAGGCAATTTCTTTGAGCCATTACAACAAGCTCAAAGAATTGCTACTACTACTACTAGTGATTGTAATTACATCTTAAAGAACCAAAATCCATTTACAAATACACATACATGTCATACTAGAATGCAATTACCTGCTCCATGTATTTCCACATTACATTTAATGCCAAGAGATTTCTTCCCATGAACTCCTATGTCAAATCATGGAGGTTAGTAACAACCAACTACACATACACTTCCAAAAAGAAGAAATTTTCAGTTACAAGAGAAAAAAGATGAGAAGAAGAAAGAATATTTTCTGGAAAAGTATCTATGGTGGCTGCCCCACTGACTTATATATTAGGGTGTTTAAAGAAAAGAGAAAATTACAATAGTACCCTTGGTTACAAATTAACAAAGAAAAATTAATAATAACAGTCTATTAAGAGCCTAGCAGTAATTCTAACAACAATCTTTTATTAGGATGAATGAATAAACAACATTAGCAAATAGGGGGTTCTCAGAGCTTCGGTTAGCGAGTGAAGTGAGTAAAAGAAGACCAACGGGTCATTTCTGCAAAGAAATTTGATCTGATTGATAATCTAGGGCATCTTCTTGTCTATATTTTAATGACATTAAAGTATCTTTTTCGGTTTCCTCTTATATTGGCTCTCAAAAAGGACTCCCTCTAAGGAAGGATTTATATTTGCTTTCCTTGTCTTGTGGATTATACTCCCTAGCATCTAAACTAGTGCATTTCTTCAACCAAACTCTGGTTTCTATGTTGCATATCAACTATATGATTAATTGTCTTAAAGGCTACTTGTTGATCATTTAGTTAAGTTTGATATTTTCTTTGGGAGTTCTGACTTTTCAAAGAATTGTTATAGAAGCTTTGAAACTTCTATGGTCTATTTATGGTTATCACCATCAACATGTGATACTGGATCTCAAGGTGACTACTTGATGTTTGAGAAAATGTCTCAACTCAATGGTGCAAAATTTCTGCATTGGTCCTCCATTGTTATGATCAGTTCTGATCTGATCTTGTTTGTGACTTGATTTGATATTTGGACTAGATTGGTGACTATTGGATCTATTATCATTAATCAATATCTAGTTTATTTATCTCATATATGTTTTGCATGGAAGATGATTAATGAAAATTTCAGCAATGATCCTTTATTAGGCACATCAGTTCTGAGTTATTGTTGAGGAAATCCTTGGGAGTTTTGATCTCCATAGGTGACATGATATTTTGATTTAATAATCTAGTTGGCTTTCCATTGTCTAACTTCGATTCTTTGACCTAGTATATGGATTTCTAGTTGGCAATCCATTGGCCAATTCCAACTCTTTGATCTGGTTTATGGAGTTAATAGTTGGCTTTCCATTGGCCAACTCTGATTCTTTGATCTGGTTTATGGAGTTCATAGTTGGATTTCCGTTGGCCAACTCCAATTCCTTGATTTGGTTTATGGAATTCATAGTTGGATTTTGGTTGGCCAACTATGATTCTTTGATCTAGTTTATGGAGTTAATCATAGTTGGCTAATAGTTGGCTTTCCACTAGCCAACTCTGATTTAGTAATTCTGTTGACATTTATGATTATCTAATTGTTTGACATGGTTGATTCTTCAATTCGGTGATTGTGATTGGCCTTTTGATGGCTAACTTCAGTTCTTTGGCATGACATGTGTTGGTTTTTCGTTGGCCAATGTCAATTTGGTGATTACTACATGACTTGGTTCTACCCTTGATTTTAGACACGAGTTCATATCATTTTGCTACCTCATTAAACTTTCTAAAATCCAACTTTGGTTTCTAAGAGGCTACTTCAACATCTCAAGTTTCCTGGCTGCTATTTCATCAATTTCCGTGGAGGTTTCTTACATCCTTACTTGCAAACTCAAGCAGGCTTCCCCATCTCAAGTTTGAGGGAGGGTGTAGAGAGACGTATTTGAGTTTTCTACTAAGGAGGGTGTTGGAGGTTATAGGAGTATATTTGGGTTTTCTGGCTCTATAGTAATAGGCAAGTTATTAAACAAAGTCACATCACTACCCGCAAAACAATCTCCAATGACCACAATCAAAACTAAAGTAGATCTCCAATTTTCCTTTGCTTTTGGGCACAACCTCTAGGGCATCATCCTTGACATCAAAAAATTTTAAAATTTCTCTGAAATTTTCTAGAAGTCAGGCAATTTAAAGATTACATATGATTACTATTTTAAGAAAACAAATAATACCACTTATAGTAATTTACTAAGTTACTATTTATATTTTATAGTAATTCCTAAATTACTATTTTTAGTAAAATTGTGACTTGCTAGTTATAGTAAAAACCATATCTGATAACAAGAACCCCAAGAGGAGAAAGATTTAGACTAGAGACATCAAACTACCAAGTCTTCTGTTTTTGAAGGACAAAGAGAAAATTCATTAACATAAAAACAAGAAGTACAACAGAAGGTGATAAGATATTACCAAAAGCATGAGAGGCAACTCAGGAGACCCAATAAGGCCCAATACAACCGCAGTTTACAACCAGGAGCATTGCCTAAACACCCAAAATAAAAACGAAAACACCGACCCAACACATATCCCCATAAAACAAGGGCCACTAGCCTGACACTAAACAAAAGCAAAGATCCCTATCCCGAAGCCTGCATCAGTCTTCATCTGTGAGCATATCTTCTTGGGTTGAGAAATCCTCATTCCATTCCCCTCTCCATTGCAAATGAACTTTGTTTTTCTCTTTCTCTTCCTTTTTTCTTCTTTCAAATTCCTCAAATGCCTTCCTAGAAAATTCTTCATCACCCCAAAAAAAAATAGGCCCAAGCTTTTCCCTATCCTAACTTCTCTGTCAAGTAATTTCTGTAAAGCCATGCCTTGTGATTCTTCTTCAACTACATCAATATTCTGCGGTGGCCAGATCACACTAGAGTCAGAAACATCACCACTCCTCTTGTCTTCCTGATCCTCCTCCTTCTCTTCATGATTACTCCTTCAACCCAACCTTCCGACCTCAACCTCCTCACAATGCAGACCTTCTTCAACCTACCTTTCAGCTTGTCCTCCAGTGAGCTCATCAATATAAGAAATTTCCTTTCCCCCAACCTCGCCCTCAATTTCCAGCTCAACTTTGGTGCTAAATATCCTTTCCTGAGCCTTTTCCTCCCCCTTCCAACCTCACTGTTTCAATGGAGGCCGCATCCTACGAAGGCAGTAAAACTGGGCTTCCAGAATCGCAGCTGATCTCTAGAGGTGTCTTACTTGTTCCCCCGAGCTCTAGGGATACATAGTTCCCATCAGGCTCCCTACTGACCGGAGATAGAAGGCCAGCATCACCATTCACAGGAGATGGACCATCATCGAGCAGCTTTCTTGAACCACCAATGATCCTCTTCTTACCACTTTTGCCAAACTTGGCTATTGCTCAAACCCACCTCTCTTACTTTCCTTTTCTAGCCTCAATCCAGACCCTCTTTATTACTCCATTTCTTTTCAACATTGGCTTGATAGGCCCTAGAAGCCACCCCTTGCTGTCATTCTTGTTCCTGAAGTGATTTTCCATCCTGCCCAAATGCAAGGCAGCTTTGAAAACTTGATCACCTCTCAACCTTCCTAATGGGTGAGAAGAGTCTTTCAGGTGAGATCCCTGATCTGCATCCAACAGAGAGCTGTTAAACTCAATAAGTTTGATACCATTAAACTCTCAAGCATCCCTTTTAAAAGCGTACTCACCAGGATAATCTGATGAGTTGCTAAAGTCCCTCTGAATTCCACCTAGGTCGAAGCAAATGCCCTTGATACCTCATACCTGACCCGCTCTCTTCACCTAACCTATCAACAGAATTTGAATTTTTGATGACCTTTCTGCTTTCAGAACCAATCTTTCTTTAAACTATCAAGTCTAACAAGGGAGAGATCAAAGCATCAAAGAAACTTGTTAGAGTGAACCGAATAGGGGTAGTTTAGTAATCTCATGTCAGTTAGGTACTTTGCTTATGTGGCTGTTTTATTAGAGTACTCTGCCCCACACTTAAGTGAGGGCAGTTTAGTCTTTGTAAGTGTAATTAGAACCTAATAAACATTAGGACATGGTATCAGAGCGAGGTTTCTGACCTGCTTCTGCTTGTAAAGCATCTCAGCTGTGTTCGTGACACCTTCTTCG